TTGTACGCGCTCTTTAGTAGCGCGCTGGCATAAATTTATGAAACTGCTCTAAAAAAAAACACCTGAAAACACCCTTTTTACAGCCTTTTCTACCATAATTTTGGAACTGCTTATCGGATCATTTTCCTCCTTTTTTTTTTTATAAAAAAAAAGATGTATCTTTCATCTTTATAATGAGATGAAATGAAACGAGATAGATTTATGTTTTATTCCGTCACTTTTAGATTAAAAGTAGGCAACTACATTGGATTTCCAGCGTAGAAAGTAGACTTTTTACCTTTCGCGGCTCATGCTACCAAATTCTAATCAAGAATGACTCGCAAAGTATTTGACCAATCGGTTTCTTTCTCTCTGTAAGTTGATCTTTATTCTTTCTACCATACTTGTTGTAAAAATGGTTGTGATTTTAGCTCTGTCACTTTTGAAAACCAAGAATCAAGCCTTCCAAACACCACTGACTGTATTGTATACAGGTGCTTGTTTCACCGTAATCATTTTTCTCCGGTGACTGATGCGAAGACTGAGAGTGTGCCTGGTGTTTGTTTGATAAGTTAGACCCTTTCTATCGCTTTTTTTTACTTCATGAAATAAATGAATGGAAAGCTTATGATTAGTAAATTCTCATCATGTAAATATAATTAGGTTTGCAGTTATAATTTTGCTTCCCTCAAAATTCACATGTTACAGTGAAATGAATGCAAGCGTTCGCCGGTTCACTACGTAGCCTACATCACGCGCTGAACTCGCACAGGAAACATTGAAAGACTGGTCGAGTGTGCCTGGTGTTTGTTTGATAAGTTTGACCCTTTCTATTGCTCTTTTTACTTCTTGAAATATATTATAATATGAATGGAACGCTTATGATTAGTAGATTCTCATCATGTAAATATAATTAGGTTAGCAGCTATAATTTTGCTTCCCTCAAAATTCACATGTTACAGTGAAATGAATGCAAGCGTTCGCCGGTTCACTACGTAGCATACATCACGCACTGAATTCGCACAGGAAACATTGAAAGACTGGAGTGTGCCTCATGTTTGTTTGATAAGTTAGACCCTTTCTACTGCTCTTTTTACTTTACAAGAAACATTGAATGATACGCGCTAGAAAGCAACAATTAATCTGTTCTGTTAGGTACTGTTTTTGGCTCTGACAAATTCATATTGATAATTTTAATTTATTTTTATATTCCATTCTAAAATCTGTTTTACACTATTAGATATCAGACGAGAGTCTGTTGTAGATGCTAACCTTAAAATTGCGATAGCGATCACTGTCTAATGGGATGAACCCAAATATTAATTTATGAACTTAGGTGAAGTTAGACCCTACCTATGTCAAGAAATCACGAATCAGCATTCAAGAAATCTGCAGTAAAACTGTCTGCTAAATAAGCCACAGAGAACACTGGTGGGTATGATAGTGCAGGTAAAACACTCTTTTACTTTCAAGTCTCTAAAAGTGAAAATCTGTGCATACGATGTATATATATTAAATCATCACAAATATTAAGTCAAAAAACAAATTCTGGCCGAGCGTTGAACCCCGATCGAGCGAAGAACACCAAGAAAGACCACGTGATCCACCCTACGAAGTATACTAGGAAGCAAGAAGTAAACAACCCCGTCCGTCATAATGGCATGTATTTCTTGTAAGATATTTAATCATCACGAATAAAGTAAGTCAACCAAATAGTTATAATGTTTTATTAACACATTTCCAACGCCGTCACTAACAAAAACAACATTGACAGTTGATTTGAGAGAAAGGCCATGCTGTATGTACGATCGCCACTCTAAAAAGTACGGTATGAGGCGTGGATCAGGGTGGATGCAGAGAGCATTCGCGTCCTCGCTCGTACAGTACGTAGGGTGGTCATGACGTGAGTAAACTAAAAATAATGCAAATGGACGACCAATTCCGGGGGCATGATCTTTTTTTTGAAAAGATAACAATGATTCAATAATCTATTTAATGATTAGAATAATTATATACTGTATCAAGTTATACGTTTAATAAAAGCAATTTTTTTCCCAAATCTCCGTCGTTCAAACACCATGGACCTGGTTCAACCATGGAGGAAATTAATATATTTCCTCCATGGTTCAACCTCTATGGTTCAACGTACATTCACGTGAACAAATTCGGGGATTCCCCGTGTGCGTTGATTGCCATCGATTCGATCGTTGATTGCCATCGATTCCATCGTGCGTTGTTCAGTAACAACTTTTAAACAAGTAGAAATTTCTTTTTTTTTACAAATATATGTTTGCTTAATGTATTTTAACATGACTAAACAATTAAAAGCTTGGAGAAGATATGATTTTCGTTCACCGTTAATTCATGCTATTATATTCTAAGCTTATTTTTGACAACAAAAGGGCCTCTGCAAAAATTAGTGCCGTCGTTAGCTTCGGTCACCTCGGAAAATTGAAGAATGATGACGCTAATTTCGAACCGGGCTGTAGCAATGCACATTATTGTTCCATTGTATACAATTACAATATTTAGATAATAAAAACGTGTAATTGAATACACGTTTTTATTATCTAAATACTGTATACAATTACAATATTTAGATAATAAAAACGTGTATTCAATTACGTTTTTTTATATGCAAGAAGACTATATTTTTATTTTGTGTAGCTGATAAATAAATAAAAACAAATTATAGAAAAGTTAGCCCTGACGAAGGATAGTGCACTCCCATAAAGCTAGGCATTTATCTTATTGGCTGTTTTACTTTTACGTTTAAATTTTAGCTTTTGATTACCAATTGTGTATCTCATTGGTTTTTTTTCTCAGTATTTTGCCTTTTGGATTACAAATAGTAGTTTTTATAATTTGTTTTTTTGTATATTTGGAAAGGTAATTAAAAATACCTGCACGAAGAAAAGGCACAGTACTGGCTGTTATGTAGATGACAGTAAGAAAATTAGTTAGTAGATAGAATCAGATTGTTGAACTGCAATTGAATGTAAATAGTTTAAAAAGAAACACTGAAAGAAAATACATAATTAGAGTACAAACATTGTATGATGTGCTATGCATTTTTTGTTATTGAAAATTAAATAAACCACAAAAGTGTTTGACTGTTGGATTTTACTTTGAAATAGTGTTTAATACATTCTAAAATCAGACATTGCAACACAATTCAACACTTTTAAATGGCATCTTACAGTA